GCAGGCACAAAAATGCCCTTTGGTACATGAAAAAACAGTACTTACTTTTCCCCTGAAATATCTTTTTGTCCAGTTCTTATTCAACAATTCCTGTGTGATGCCAGGACTTCCAGGCACAACCTCACCTTTCAATTTACTTTCTTTACATTATTCTTTGACTTTAATAAAGTTCTTGTGAGATCCCCATGGGACTGTGCTAATCCAACACTCAAGACAAAGGGCAGCTCCACCTCATAGATGCTGGCAGCAAGACTGGACAAAAACATGGTATGGCATAGACGCTGCCAGTTTCAACAGATCACGGCTCAAACAGTAACACAGATCACTGCTAAAAACCTCCATTGCTCGAGGTAATCCCTGCACATTCCACAGGCGCCAGTGTTTTCAGTGACAAGGGACTTGGTGACACCACCTCAAAAGCATGAATGTCCATATGACATGGGCTACGCACACAAACAAGATTTTTTTCAAGGGCTGCAAAGCAGTATCTAATTCTGCCTTAAATGTGTCTTCTTTGCCTGAAAGACTGCCAAAGGACCAATTCAGTTCAAAATATCCACGCTGAAGGGGCTTGATCTAGTTGCCTAAATAAAGATATCTAGTCTCCTTGCCAGAAACCTGTCCTTCAGTTCCCGCTGACATCAGTGTTTCAGCTGCAAAGGACACAAAAAACCGAAGTTGCAAGTTCTGCTAGTCTGACCATATTCCTCTCTGCCTAAATAATCATCTTACCATCCTTCTGGTCTTGTTTTTGAGTATGTTGTGCAAAACACCTAACATGCCTCTGAAATGCATTCACCTACTGCTCGAAGCACTGCAACATTTGGAGCCAGATAAAGGATATTACTAAAATAACACTTTCTGCTGTGTGGAAGCCAGCCTTGCTTTTAGGATGGGAGAACTAGCCTACAGATTTGAAATGCTCTTGACAGCAAAATGAAAGGTTTTAGTAACTTACTTCCTTCCACGCTCACTCCAGAGCAGGACCAGGTCATTGGAGAAGACTAAAAGACTTGCCTACATGTCTGTTCTTGTGTGGTTTTTCTCTTCTCTTTTTTACAGGAGTACTACAGAAGAGTGAGTCTGAGCAAGACAAAAAGCTTCACTTTGAAATGAGTGCACTCTGCAGGTACCTGGAGGGTACCCCAAGGGCCCTACAAAGACCAGCCAGGTCCAGGGAGGCTCCTGTTTAGCCTGTAGCCCAACAGCCACCTCAGTCAAGCTCCAAAATCTACTGTTACTGGAGTCACTGGGGAGAGAAGACGACAGTTTTCACTTATGTGTGAGATGGATGGTAGATCCTCTCCAACAGGTCCAAGTTGAGTTTGGAGGGCAGGAGTACATAAGAGCTTCACAGACCTGCTCCCAGTGTGCAGCCTGACAGTTCCTACTGCAAGAGTCAAACATAATGCTGCTCAGCAGGGTCACTTGGAGTTCAGTGAACACAAAGCTCTTAAGAGAAGACCTAACACTCAAAGTGACACAAACACCCTGCTCTTTTAAGAAAGAAGAGAGCAGATTCATAACCTCTGACTGGGAGGCAGCCGTCAGCAGGTGACACTGGCCCAGATAACATTACTAGGAGGTTACAGAAGTGTTTTTTTCTTCTTCAAACAACTTCATGGCAAACCTGCAGACAGAACTTACTAAGCCATTGAACACCAGTTCTATCCTGAGTTCTTGCCTGCAGTGACCTTGTGCAAGTCCTGTTGCCTGATCTGCACAATGGCTGATGCATGAATCCCAACCTGCAGTGATGTGTCTGCTGGAACCCCCTTCGTTCACTTCGTCAACATTAGCCCAAAGAGGAAATAAAAAGAAACAAGAACATCAAGAACACTTTCCACCACCTAGGAGCATCCTAGCTGCCCTCAAATTATGACATCTGGGTGTGGAGAATGGATTGTGCATGCCCAGAAATTACTGGCCAGTAGACAACTGAGAAGTGCAGCTTTGATAAAAGCAAGTGCACAGTCTCTTCCATTTGCTCCCCAAAATTGTGCTTCCCCTCTCCTCCCACCGAGTTCCAATCCCTGTTTAAATGAGAATGCTCCATGCAATGGCATGGGATCCTCATATAACCCTCCTGTGACATGGTATTCCCTTCCTCTCTGATGCTGGACAAGCCAGGAGGTCAGTGAGGCAGGTGGCTTGAGATCAAGAGTGTAGAGCTGTCCTGGTTTCGGCAGGGATAGAGTTAATTTCCTTCTTAGTAGCTGGTACAGTGCTGTATTTTGGATTTAGGACAAGAACAAAGCTGATAACACACCAATGTTTTAGTTGTTGCTGACCAGTGCTTACACTAGCCAAGGACTTTTCAGCTTCCCACGCTCTACTGACTGAGAAGGCTGCAGGTGCACAAGAAGCTGGGAGAGGGCACAGCCAGGACAGCTGACCCAAACTGGCCAAAGGGATATTCCATACCATATGACATCGTGCTCAGCATATAAAGCTGGGGGGGAAGAAGAAGGAAGGGGGGGAACGTTCGGAGTGATGGCGTTTGTCTTCCCAAGTAACCGTTACGCGTGATGGAGCCCTGCTTTCCTGGAGATGGCTGAACACCTGCCTGCCCATGGGAAGGAGTGAATGAATGCCTTGTTTTCCTTTGATTGCGTGCGTGGCTTCCACTTTGCCTATTAAACTGTCTTTGTCTCAACCCTCGTGGGTTTTCTCACTTTTGCCCTTCCGATTCTCTCCCCCATCCCACTGGGGGGGAGTGAGTGAGCGGTGTGGTGCTTAGTTCCCAGCTGAGGTTAAACCACGACAAGAGCAGAGCTAGTTCCTTTGTCACTTCACCTATGATGCCTGTTCCTAACAATTTTAACACATCAGGATGTTTTTTCATTGAGTGCTCAACATTGAGACTCGTGGGAAGATTTCAACTCCAAAAAGATTAAAAGCAACATGTAAATAATGGTCTGCTCAATATTAATTTCTTGGGTATTTAGGAGGTAGAAAAAAAATAAGGCCAATTAACCCAATTTGCAGTATTGTGTCTGTCACAAGCATTTTAATTCAGTTCAAGTCAACTTGAGCCAGAAAAAGGATAAAAAGGAATAAGCCCGTTAAAAGACCTGTAGCTAGCCAAAGGGAAGGTGTTAGTGGCCTCTAAACAGCTAGTTAATGGCTAGATCTGCTCTGAGACAGTTCTCTTCCATCCTTTTATGAAGCAGAAATCAAAAATAGTTGTAAAAAGCAAAGGGCAACAAGGTCAAGATAAAGAGAGTGTGAGTACACACTCATCACTGCAAAGTAATTATTCAAAGCATATGAAAATGAACGGATGAGCCGTCTGACTTCAGCACATCCACACTCAAGAGCTGGAGCACACAGGTGAGATCTTACTGCTTGTTAGGAGAATTCAATCACATTGAAACCTTGCCCAATTCAGCCTGTGGATCCGTCCATCTAAACAACCCAAACCAGCATCTTCATCCATTACATTGCCAATGAATTTTGATCTGAGCTTAAGGATTTAAATATTCTTTTCAGCACCAGCCCATCTCCACACCGGCATCCTGCTTGCTGGTTTACAGCCATTACCACAACTGAGTAAATACAGCAGCTTTGTTATCTCAGGGACTGTCCAGAGCTGCTCACAGTACAAACGCTCTAACTGCTGCTGCAGGATTAACCAGGAAGAGACCTGGAGCAGGCAAATACACTGCCAAGCACTGTAATACAGCTAAACACCCAGACAGGTTGTCCTACACCCCTCTATGTGTACCTGGTGGCCAGGTCAGGGACTGCCTCACTGCCATTCCCAAGACTGCTCTCTAAGACACAACCAGAGAAACAACACAGGCTGTTTCTGTTGTGTTTAACTTAACTAGAAAAACATGACTCAAAGTCAGGGGATCACAACTCCGTAATGGGCTGTGCTCTTTCCCCCAGGTCACCTTCTCTCATGCCAGGTGCCTGCATTGTCTAGATATATCTAACTTCTCAGTGCAGAGATTGTCACTCATGACTTGCAAATTTTTAAGATGCCCCAATTCCTGTGGTTCCTAATTCCCTTTCAGAAATTTTACCTGTCATTAGCACAGGGCAGAACTGTGGGATGTGAGGCACCTCAGGCACCAGGGCAAAGAGTGATGCACATAATACAAAAAGACGATTGATAGTTTGATTTGGGGGGGGGAAAGAGAGATGCATAATTGGCACCATCACCCTGGATCCACCACCATAAAATAACCCCCTGCGAGGCAGCATGCTGTAGAGGGGTAACTTCACAGACCTCAGCTGAGTTCCTGTGATACATGCACCATAACAGAGGCAATTCCAGGTCTCCTGTGTACAGCAAGGTTAAAACGTGGTTAAAATGCACTTGGAGTCTAACGTCCAAACTATAGACCTGGGAGATGATGGACATGAGCTCCATTTGTTTGTAAACTGGCATTTCTGAGGCACAATTCTTGCATCAAGATGAGACTACTCAACAGTCTGTCTTTGAGTTCAAAGCAGAAAGGATTCAACCAGCTCCCAGAGAACAGCACTGAAAATCCCCTGCTGCCAGAGTCCTTTTGCCTTGGTGCAGGAACACGGTTGTCCCTGCTCCATCAGGATCCAGTCTCTGGTTAGTTGCCTCCCCGGTCCCTTAATTCTCTTCTCTCCAGGAACCAGGGCACAAGACCTCAGTATTTCAATGTCACCACCCCAACACATTTACATAAGTGCAAGTGAGGGATGGAGGAGGGGGATACTCCTGCAGATGAGAGTACAATTTTTAGCTCAAGAGAGGTATTTTTGACTGCTTCAGTGTTCCTGCTGTCCCCACATTACCCCGACTCTCTGTCCCTCCTTCCTGATCTGATACCTGACAAAACCTCTGCTTTTCACCCCTCATACAGGGGCTCTCCCCAGATCGGAGGATCTCCACACTGAGATAATAGGAGCACTGGACATTTTTGGTGCTTGCCTTTGCCCTCACCCCACAGCAAAGAATCATGTCTCTCTCTCCCTACTGCTTTCTTGTACTCTAGGACTTGTCTTGACCTTCTAGCACTAACTTTACTGTTTGCAGCTGTAGACCACCTCTTCCTGCATACACTGTTGGCACTCAACATAGCAACACCACTGCACCTGACAGTGGCAAGAGAAGGTAACCAGCCGGCTCTGGGTGTTATAGCCTCGTCCACAGCACATGCTGTCACAGTTGCCTTCCCGAGAGCAGGTCCTCCCAGCAGTTCCCAGGGAGTATTTGCTGGGACGACAGAAACTGGGGGAGTCTTCCACATACACCAGGTCAGTAGAGCGGGGTGAAGCCGGGTGCTTGGGGGAATGGCTGTGTCTCTGTGGGCCAGCCAGCTCTGAGTGTCCCACAGCATCATTGGTGGTGCTGAAGACCTTGACAGCATCATCGTAGCGCAGCTTCAGTAGTCGTCCAATCTCATGGAAAGGCGAAAGCTGTTTCCAGCATGTCCGGACAGCACATGAGCCAGAGACACCATGGCACTTGCATGTGGTTTTGAGACCATTTTTCACAGCCTGATGAGGAAGAGAAGTGGTAGTCATTATCTGCCAGGACCATGAGCCTAGTTCTGGGTAGAGGCAACACCTCAGATTGCAGACAGCCTGGAAGTACTTCAGTTTTATTGGTATTATTCCTATTTTATTGAGGAAAAAGTAAAAAAACAAAAACAAAAACAAAAACAACAGAGGAATGGCAACAGAGTTGACTGGTGAGCCAGAGAGCAGAAAGCCTGAATGAGGACAAATGGCTGAATACTGAGGCCAGTCAAATTCTTACTAAGCCTATTTGGAATAGCACGAGTAGTCAACCATGAAACTGAGTATCTCCAGCATGGTGGATTCCCTTTGGTATATTCAAATCAAGATAGTGCTCTAATCAAACAAGTAATTGAACTCAGTAAACGGAAAACAATGATAAGTCATTAGCCTGTAACATACAGGCCAAAATGCTTGATCTAATGGTCTCCCTGACCCAAACTTGTGACATGACTAGTTCCATAGCAAATCACTAGCAGACTCAAAACTGATCTCAAGAGTGTCAACCCTTAATCTACTTCACACGTCCCACCAGCTCTGAAGTTCTAGCTTTTCTCAAAACTCCCTGTGGCTGTGGCATAACCCATGGAGTAATTCAGCCAGTGAGTTTTACAGCCGTTACCGTGCTGCATATTGCTGTCACTCAGCCCCTGATACCACTAGAGGATACAGGATGCTACTCTGCCATTCAACATGCAACTCCTCACACCAAAGTTCAGGAGACTTTCCAGGGAGCTCTCAGTACCATAAGGTCCACAACACACTGGTAAACAGGTCTGGTTTGTGAGTAGGGGCAGTGAATACCCCTCCCACAAACAGCCTCGGCTGAGGATGGGTTAGAAGACTTGCATTGAGTCCTGACTTCTTTCTAGGCCTGCTGCTGCTGCAGCTCCTCACCTTGATGCCAACATTGGTGTTATGGATGTCCACCTTGGCCCGCAGGTCTTTGCCAATCCTCTTCTGACCCAAGAATTTTTTCAGGAACTTGGTGCTGTATTTGAGGTTGTCTCCACAAACGCCCCATTGCCAGGCCTTGCGGTTCTCCAGGTCTGGGGAGTCATCGCAGGTGCAGCGCTCCATGCGCCCAGCACTACACGCTCTGGCCAGGGAGTGGGTAAGAGCTGCAGAGGACACTGCATAGAGGAAGGCAGTTTCCTTAAAACCTGCACAGGAGAAGGATTAGGAGAGGGTAGGAGCAGAAAAGGCAAAATAAGGTGTTCATCCACCTCACTGGCTCTCCTGACTGTCCATGAACTAAAACCAAGCACAATACTTAGAAATACAAAGAGACAAAACTCTTCCATTACCTGCACACCATTCCTAGCAGAGAATCTCAATATCATGTTTGAAGTAACTGGTGTAGTAACACCCCAGTCTCACCTGGTGGCTGTGACTGATTCAATATGGAGACAGAAGACCCCTCATGAATGAAGGGATGGGTGGCAACAGCCAAAAAATCCTGGGAAAATATTCAACTGCAAAAAGTGACAGTCATGAAACTCCATTCATCCTCATACCCACCACAGAGCTGATAGGTGTGAATAGAAACTGTCACTGAAATCATGTTGTGGCTTAAAATCAGGAAATATTTAGTAGAGACTGAAAAAATATTTTAAAAATCTGACCCGTTGTTTTAAAATGTTTTTATCTGGGACTGTGTTGGCACAGTATAGTAGTATTCATATGGAAAGATTACAAGTAGTTTGATTAGGAAAGGTTCTATGTTGAAGGACATCTTGGGCAAGAAGGACGAACTCTCCCTCACATGAGTGGATTTTCTCACTTCCCTGTAAATTATCTACTCCCAATGACTGTGGTGATGCTTTCTGAAGCTATTCTCCTTTCTAAAGCAGGCTTCCCGGCTTGGCTATGTTTACCCTGAGGTATGTGACTATGACACACCATGACATTTTAACCAGGAAAGAAAGTACAGTGCCTGAATAGAAATTCAGTCTGAAGACATGGAATCGGACAGGAATGGGCATGTTGATATGGCACCCATGAGCTCCACAGAAGTTCCAGAAAACACTGATTGACACAAACCTGACCTAAACCCCCAAATATTTTGGTTTGATTATTTCTTTCCTATTTAATCCAGGGGAAAATCTTAACATTTCCTCCAAAATTCATTTGCAGAAATTAAAACTATTAATAGGAAATTGCTTAACAAGTCCACAATTTAGGAAGTAGAGCAAGGAAGAGAAAGACAGGTGACTGATCAATAGCTCAGAGTGCAGAAATGGATAAGATTGGGCAAAACAGAAACATTTTGGTTTATGAAAAATAGAACACTTTCACATTGCATGGAAAGAAACATATTGAAGCAAACGAATATTCCACACTGGAAAATGCCAAATTTCCTTCCACGTCAGAAGGAAACAAATCTGTTTCCCTCAAAAATGGAAAAGAGAGGGAGAAGCCCAGAGACCTGATCTAGTCTTGCAGTTAGCCCTGCTTTCAGCAGAGGTTGGAAAGGACCTCTAGAATTCATCCAGTCCAACCTCAAATCTTTCCATCATTTTGTTCCCTCAAAGAATTCCCATCCAGCTGTAATAATACATCAGACCACTGGCTGGTCTGAGATCCGGGTGAAGTCACCATAAATCTGACCAGAGAACAGGACAAAGAGTTCTTCTGATAGCTATCAGTGAGAAGAATGAAAAATTGACTAATCATGGACTTAATGGAGAGGCTGCATTAGCAACTTCAATATAGACTTCATAGGAGCTCATTGGAATCCCAGAATTTTAGATGAAGGATCTAGCAACAGTACAGACATGGATGAGAGAGTCAAGAAAATGTGGAGGAGGTCAAGGAAATCCATCAACAAACTGCTTCCTACCTCACCATTTTAGTTGCTGTATCACTGGGACAAGTAACTTGCAACTAAGCTCTCTGGTTGATGATGCTCTGTAAAATCTCTCAAGGGTATTGGAATAATAATGAAAAAATGTCACCAAATCCATCAAAAGTTTTGGAAAAGCTGATATGGGACACAGTCAATACAGATTATGGATTGCAACATGATGCTCACACATTTTCAAACAGTGGCTAACCCAAATGAAGGATATAAGAGAGGATAAGATACATTTGAGATCCAAAATCTGAAAAATAATTCCGGTAGCTAATCTCCAATTGCTTACCAGATTCCCAATATCCTGTCTGACATACTGATGCCAGAAGAGAGGAGAGCATTTTGGAAACACTTTCCCATACTACATAAAGCTAGCAGTACCAGTCAGCTCCACATACCCTGCTAAATCTGACTTTGTGGAATACCACACTGCTTCTGCTATTTCTGACCAGTGATGGTTTGGTTTCTTCTGTGGCACTCCATGTAAGTGCTGGCCAGATTTCAACCCACTTGAAATCAGAGACCATTGCTTGTGGTCAGGCCACTGCAGACAGCAGTAACTGAAGATAACGAGCATACTTTCAAATCGTCTCCTTCTTCTCCCCCCTCCCACCTCCTTTTATGGCAAAGGTTCAATATCACCAGGCTGCCAAATGCTTGTCTGAAAAGTCTAAGATGGTTCCTTCTACTTTGTCATAAGGGACTGATCACTGTTTAATTGTTTAATTCACGGATCACATGAGTAAAGGAAAAACTGAATGCTCCTTAAGGCCTTGTGGAATAACAATGAGCAACAGAGCAGCTGTTGAAGCTGGATTTTCAGTAGGACATAGCACAAATGAGCAGGGATCAGCTCCAACAAACATGATCTGAGAAGATCTAAATGGTGGGTTTTCCATGTATCCTGGCTATCTAACCTCCCACTATGTCAATGGAGCTCTTGTCACCACAGCCAGTGGAGCCTGGACCTGATGCCCAGGCTGTCAGGGTCTGGTTTAGGGATGAGTCACCCTCCTGACCCCATTGACTGAGTTGCCAGTGACTATAATGAAATCTTAAACACACGATGCAAGGGGGAACACCTAAATGCAGATGTCTTTGCTTGTCAGTTTGGTTGCAAACATCCAGCACAGAGTTGAATTTCAAGATGTTGAAGCAAGCCAGCTCCCCCTGGTAGGACCTTGCACATGTACAAGTCTTCCCCTGAGTTCTCTGGAATTATTTCTTAGCTCAGCAGCCTATAAATACAGAAGGACGTTTGCTGCAATGGCAAGACACTGTTCTGTGGTGTGGTATGCTCTAGACCACAAGGAAAACTATAATAGGAGGAGTTTAGCCCTGTGGTGATTCTGCCAAAGGCAAGATGCTCAAAGATTTTTCAATGCTGCAATAAAGATAGTGTGAGCATTTCAGAGCAAGTGGAAGACACATCTCTCTGGGGAAAACAAACAAACAAACAAAAACAAACAAACAAAAAAAAAAACAAACAAAAAAAAGAGCAGACCAGAAAGAATTGTAGAAAGATTTAGGATGGAAGGACTTTTCAAGGTCTTTAGTACAACCTCCTGTTCAAATCAGGGCTAACTCCAAAGCCAGATAAAGTTGCTCAGGGCTTTGCCCAACTGAGTTCTCAAAATCTCCAATTATGGAAATTCCACATCTCTCAGCCACCGCTCCTGTGCTGTACCATTCCTAGATTCCTCATGATATCAGTGAAACCACTGCACAAACAAAAAAAGAGCAGACCAGAAAGAATTGTAGAAAGATTTAGGATGGAAGGACTTTTCAAGGTCTTTAGTACAACCTCCTGTTCAAATCAGGGCTAACTCCAAAGCCAGATAAAGTTGCTCAGGGCTTTGCCCAACTGAGTTCTCAAAATCTCCAATTATGGAAATTCCACATCTCTCAGCCACCGCTCCTGTGCTGTACCATTCCTAGATTCCTCATGATATCAGTGAAACCACTGCTTGAAGATCAAAGAATCTGACCAACATGAAGCAAAGAAATGGATTGACGGAGGGAAGGATCGTAGAGTGCTCGTTTCTCAAGAAGGATTTTTCTGAGTCACTGGATCTGAGCTGTCTTTGCTATAGGTATTTATTTTCCCCAAATCACCATGTTTGAGATTAAATACTGCTTACCGGACCTCCAGCAGCAATTGACTGCCTTTATGGCACACCTTGGAAACCAAAAGATCGTCATTGCTTTACAAACTTTATATAAAGACACCAACTAGATGGCTTGAAATGTCTGTCCAGAATAATCTTAAATCTACCTATTTTCATGGATTTCTAAAGAAGTGGAGAAGGAATTGAGAAGGATTTTGCATGGATCAGTGAAGAGTAATAGCCATCATAACTGACTGCACTAGTCATAGAAGGATTGTAGGTTGTGCAAAAGGAGTTTCCCAGTTGTATCCAGAGGAGCGTCAATGTAAAACAACAGATGGTGCAGACTGTGAAAATAAATCTGGCATTTCAAAATCCAGAAAGCCCTTGGCATTTTTTTTACTTACTAAAAGTATGTAAATACAGGAAAAAAGATGTTGGCATCTGTAGGAACAGGAAAAGTATAGGTGATCCCAATCAGTCACAGAAGATTTTCAGTTGTCACTGCAAATGAAGCGTGGCTTTTCACCTATTACAAAAATGAATCATCTCACTGGGACATGATCTTTTTTCCCCTCTTGCACTCATAAGACCATTAAAGACAGTTAAAAAGTGTGTGGTTTTCTTTACAGTTTCTCTAGGACCATGGCGATATCAAATGATTTAATCATTTCTAAAACTCTCTATCACTACTTGGGTGAAAGTAGCAGAGCCCATTGTCTGACCAACAATTTCCAAGGCAGCAACAAAACAGCAGTAGGAATATGTGAGAAACAGATCAAAACTGGCAACTGAAAGTGTTCATGTTCTTTGTGAAAGAAACTAACCTATTTGCAAGTTAAAGGAAAATGAGAACTAATAATTGCTTCCAGCCAACTGTCCTTTCATAAAGGAGATGTATATAGCATACTTTTCTGTATTAAATCATCATTTGATCCTTAAGATTGTGTAATAAAAGTTTTCAAACACTTATCCTCATCTGCCAAAACAGGTTTTAAATTACAGGTGATATTTTATTTTGTCAGTCAGGAGTCCATGGAAATGTTGAGGCATGCCACCACGAGATAATTAAATGTTTTCCAGCTATTTGAAGATGAGGATTATTCAATTGTCATTTTCAAGTTTTTTGAGGTTGATGAAGGTACAGATGTCAGAAAGTCACTCAAAATGAGCATGAACAGCTTCTTCCACAGTGTGCTAAAAAATTCACAATAGAGCCTTGCAATGAAGTAAATCTGATCTTATATGTGCTGGTTTACTAAAATATTAACTTAATATTTATTTTAATAAAATTTGATAATTTTAAATGGAAATGTTAAAAAGTTTCAATCCCAATGCTAATTAAAATTAACATTTTAATTTCATCAAAGTTAATATTCGCTTATTCAGCCCTTTTCTTTTAAGACATTAACTTACTAAACATTATCAAAGGACTGAAACTCAATTAATACTGAAGACTGAAACTCAGTAAATGCTACTAAACATTATTGAAGGGCTGAAACTCAGTAATAGGCTGGTCAGGCATGATTGGATGAGGACAGGTTCAGCAGAGTGTACGTGCATGCTCTGGGAACTTTTAGTAAGAAATAGTTTCAGGGTCTATCTTCATTCTATTTTTCTCAAACTCTTATAATTTAAAGGATTTATTATGCTCCCTCCTACCTCAAATACAGAACTTACTTACAGAACATTTTCTTCCTCTCAAGCCTTCTGTGAAACAGAAGCCAGTGGCTCTTCTGTCCACTCTGTCTGAACTTCTGCAGAAACTCCAACTATATGTGAAAGAGCCTTAGGAGATATTTGTAAACATGCATCAAAACACCTTAATGCTGATAAATAGCTTTTTCAAACAGTAAATTAGGATTAAATTCTGGATCTGAATACAACAGAGATTTACATATGAAAATATCCAAAGAGCTAAAAGAGTCTTTTCTTAAAATGTCCCTTGACATAAAGCACTAACCCTTATTTTTCACAGTATCATCCCTGATTGCCAGCCAAGGAAGATGGCCAGCCTAGGAAACTCTGGTCTCAGACAAAAATCCAGAAGCCAAGGGTGTGAACTTCCTTCTACTTTTCAATCCATGACAAACCGTACAGGAAAGATGAAGATAAGGCATATTTTGTGGCAAAAGGGCCCAAATTGCACAGCTCCCAGTCCTAGGCAAAACAGATGATCTCTGCACTCCCTGGTTACTGCCCGACTTTGCTTAATTTGAGATGCATATTCCAGGGGCTACAGCACCAAGAGAGATTTTATACTGCAAACAAAAGACTACCTTGTACCTCGCTTCAGTAGGCTGGTCCGTCCCTCCAGGCTGCAGTTCCAGCGCTCGCTGCGAAACTGGTACTGGCACTCCATGATCCCAAGCCGGATGGCATCCCGCAAGGTCTCTGCCAAGCCAGGCTCCCTCCGGCAAAGTCTCTTCTGCTTGCGGGACAGCTTCAGCAAGTCACACTGCTTCACGTGGACCTTCCCCTGGGCAGAGTTTGTGGAGGGTCCCAGGGATGGAAAGTGGGTCAGAGCTTCTTTCCCAGTCAAGCTGAAAGAAAGCAGAAAAAGCAGTGAGTTATGGAAGACGGCAGTCATGGAGGAGAAAAGGTGATCAAAGGGAAGAATATTGAGAAAGCTGCTGGTCAGGGTACTTTACCAGCTCAGAGGATTAATCAATACAGACTGATTAGATCTAGTATCCCATCTCCACCACACACCAAGGCAAAGTAGCAGACTGTGGGGAGAAAGAAGAAATGCATGTGTGTTGTCACCAGCAACCTTGGGTGGGAAGTTTTCTCGACTTCGTGAAGAGGACATGTTTACACCCCTGCAGTTTTGTTTCCTTCACAGTACATTCACCGTCACATACAGAGATTTGTTTTACTCAGCGGTGCTGCAGGTCACTGTATGTCACAGCTAACTCCATAAAGCATTAACCACGTCTTTTCAGGGTTTTGTGTGCACTGGTGCCATACCACTAGACATAGCTAGGAAAGACCAATAGGGAGACGTTATCAATGACCACCTTTCTAGAGCAAGCACGACTTTTGCTGGAAAATATTTTCTTGCTGAAAAATTAAAGGAAAGGTCAACTAAAAAGGTATTGCCAAATGCAATGTGTTTATATGTGATTCAACTGAAAAATGGCACAAATTTTTGAGACAAATGGTTTCACTTTTCATGGCAAGACAATATTTTTCTTGCAAAATTTATCTCCCTTAGTATCTTTAGGAAGCTTGAGAACACACAGAAATTATTTTACATCATGCAAATCTTGATGCAAGATTTGAGGGCTGCAAATAAACTGGGAAGAGTCATGCATTTGCACAACACTCAGCAGGAGTGCCACTCCTGATTACCAAACAGGTAAGAATCACAGAGTGTATCAACCTCCCCCCCTCTCCGAAAAATACCAAACAGACAGATAAATGGAAACCTCCTAAACCGTACGTTTCGACACATCTCAGCTCCAACATTAACATTTGCAGACCATGCCCCCCCTTCCCCAAACCCCATTGTTTTCTTTGCAAGTCCACAGGTAGTTCAACATGGACAAACAGATGAGCCAGTTGATTCTTGTTCCTCTCCCCCAGTCAGGCAAACTGGGCTATGCTGCTCCACGAAGTGAGTGTGGGAGTCAGACAAGCAAAGCTGGATAGGGAGGGATGCAATCAGGAGCAATCTCTGAAGCGCGTCTACAAAGACTATCTGGCTGCTAGCACCCCCACAGCAGTGCAGACTCCATCATCTTCCCTGCACAGCTCAGCGCTTGAGCAAACCAGATGGAGATGGACACTAGTAAGTAAGCTGGTACAATGCCAAACAAGCAATTCCCCACAGCAGTGTAGGAAGTGAGGTTCTTCACCTCTGCACCATTATCGGGTTCCTTGTAAAAGCATGGCTCTTTCGCAGCTAAATTATCTGACCGGGTCTGACTGGTCATGTTCCCAGGTGTATGTTTCTGCACAGCAAATGCCAGTCTGTGCTGGCAGAGAGAGAAGAGGAAAGTCTGTGTCAGTGAACGTGACAAGTGTCCGCCTTGCCTACCACACTCCAGTTCACAAGTAAAGAATTTTAACCGATGGAGGTGACCAAGATGAAAACTTACCTGGCTCTGCAAAAGACAGACATTTCTAACACTCCACTGTTCAAGTAAGACCATACTCTTATAAGGAATATAACCTTCATTATGAAGGATGCAGGTCAAGCACTGCAGCTGTGATTTTAGTCCTCCACATACTTTATAGACATCTATTTCTGAGCTAGTTATCTAGATCTTTCTGTAGTCAATCCAGTCTACCCAGGCATGGGAGTTATAGCACAATTCAGCTGACCTAACCCGCAGCACTTCTGCATTCATTCTCACAGTAGCCTACAACCTCCAGATGCACTCACACATCCGTAATTAGGCCCAAGTGTGATTAACTAACACATGGAAATCATCCAGAGACCTGCAAACTAACCAGGAACCAAGGAATCATTGTGAATCACACAGCAAGTATTAAATTTTAGAAAGCAAGTGAGTGAGAACAATCTCTTAATCCCGTTGTCACTGCTGAACTGGGGGACAGAAACACGAGATGTTGCAGTGAGAGCCAAGAGATAAACAGGCAATACTGGAAACAGAGACAGATATTTGGGGTCAGGTTCAGCCCAAGACACTGGAATTAACACAGCTTGATGAGCTTCAGAGAGCAATTCAGACTGCACAGTTCAAAGCCCTATCTGGCACCAAACACTGCACAGAGAGGGCAGCAACAGCTGGTGCACAAGGGACATGGCAGTCCTGAGCGGGAGGAACTGTGGTGAGGGACACAAGATTGACCCAAGAGAGTGAGACCAGCACATGATGAGCAAGCTTGACCGCTTTGCCTGACTCACTGTGGTGCTTAAAAGCCGATATACATGTTCATTGGAGTTATATTTCCCTAGGTGCATAAGCACATGCTGTGCATAAGCACATGCTCTGCACAAGCTCTGAAGCTCAAGAAGATCGAGATATGCCAACACCAGCATGGGCAGGGAGAGGCTTAGATGTCAACAAAAGTCTGACTTCTTAGAGATGTTCAGACTGTACCTAACTTACTGGGACAATGCTGGGTTCAGGAAGAGGTGTTGCTGTTATGTCAGTTGGGGGAGAAACAACACTCACCCAGAGAGTCAGAGACCTGGACTTTGCTTGGTAGTGGGATTCCAGCACTCACATCCCAGGAAAGCACACTCGTCAACAAGTTAAATGTGAGATGTGGTTATTCTCCATTTGCCATGCAGTAGCTGTGCTCCCATGCAGCAAAGTTTCCCAAGTTCACGGCACAGAGAGAAGAAATAAGAAAAAGGGAACTGCCACTGGAAAGAAGAGTTTAAGAGCCTCATAAAACAACACTGAAGTTGCTCCCTGCTGGAAAGCCATATATGCAATTTTACTAAACTCCTGTATACCAAGCTACTGATTGTCCACATACCAACAGAACTATCACTCATGCCAAGCATCCTAACTCCCAAAAATCCCTTCTCAGAACGAAGACAGCTCCCCTCCTGCCAGTCTCCATCCTCATTTTAGTGTCCTCCATCCCAGCTAAATGAGCATTCATCCCTTGTCAGATATTTTTGAGACAGCAGTAGTAGCTTCAGTGACTATTTAGACTAGTCATCTCCTTCCTATGAAAGATGTGATCAGCTCTCAGCCCTTCCTTTTCACGGGGGCTTCAGAAGCAGCAGGAACTTTAGTGTAGAGTCTTGGTGGCTCTGTTTCCAAAGGAGTCCAATAGTATGACTTCAACTGGGGATAAAACAGAGAATTGCAAGATAAATGCTCACTTTTTGTTCTTGTCATTATATATGCTCCTCCCAAGGGGCTAGGATATTGGCCTAAAATCCATTAGTCCCTCCTCACGGGGAAAAGATATAGTAGACAGTGCTTTAGACTAGTGGTAAACAGCAAAGAAAGACACATAGGATGAAAGCTAAAGCCAGAAATTCAGACCTTAAGCAGACACAATTTAACTAAGGGCTATTGAGCTCCCCCAGGTTTGTCAGGGGCTTTGATGCATTTCCTCAAGTAGCAACTGTAAAGTCAAGACTGTGTGTTCTTCTGTAGCTCACTGGATGTCAAAATATTCACACCAGAGTGCTGACTCAGGAAGGAAAACATGGTGCAAAAGATATTGCTTAAAACTGCGTGAGTGTAAAAGGGAGAAAAGGTGGCAAACAGATCTTCAAATTTTTATAAGAGATGTGATGATCTACACAGCACAGGACAGAGCTGTACTGGGCAAGCTGTTAGAAACTCTAAGAATAGAGTAGAATTAGTGGACATAGGCTAAACACAGAACAGCAGAGAAGAGTCACCACAGCTTCTGTAGAAAGTAGTCATGCCTCATAAACCTACTAGAGGTCTTTGAAGGAGTCATTGAACAGAAAGACCAAGGATAAGCCAGATGTTACAGTCTACTTGGACTTGTAAAGTTGACAGATTTCCAAAATAGCTTGTATATGAAGACAAATAGATAGACTGGATATCTTCCACAATTGCCACTAGGAGAAAAAGGAATACTAGGAGAACACAGGGTTGTAAAATCATGACTGACCTGAAAGTGAGTAAAGAAAGATTATTCCCACCTCTAATATACAAGAACCAGGGGGAATTATATTAACTTATTAATTGATAGACTAAAAATAAATGAAATGGGGTACAGAGGCTGTAGTTAAACTTGCAGCCCTCTGTGCAGGTTTTGGCTGGGATAGAGTTTATTTTCTTCACAGTAGCTAGTGTGGGGCTATGGTTTGGATTTGTGCTGGAAACAGTGTTGGTAATACAGGGATGTTTTCGTTATTGCTGAGCAGTGCTTACATGGAGTCAAGGCCTTTTCTGCTCCTCACCCCACCTCACCAGTGAGCAGGCTGGGGGTACACAAGAAGCTGGGAGGGGACACGGCCGGGACAGCTGACCCCAACTG